GTATCCACTGGTATATGGTTCATTGTTTAGTATCAGTTACTGTGTGGACTAGTTACCATGTCAGTAATTGGATTAGTACATGACCATGTACATGTATGGTCTACCAGTTAATAACACACCCTGATCCACTAATAGGTTTGTGGTGAATGGTAACAGTATCTTTGGATTAAGGTAGTGACTGTAGTGTAGTAGGTAGAGTTCTTGGTTAAGTTAGATCATTTGTATTTTGGCACTATGAGATATTGTTCATTCAAGAAGATGTATTGTCTTAAACAATGTTAATTCATTGGTTATACAGTAGAGAGTACATGTGTATTATTTAACTGTAGCTAGAGGTAGTTATCTCTCCCTCTCTTCCTCCCTCTCCCCCTCTCCCTCCCTCCCTCTAGTACCCCACTTTATTCTCAAGAGGTGTTGATCTCGTTAAACAGTTTCCATTGTCTTATTATACATTGGGACTGACTGTTGCTCACCTCTTAGGACTCAAGAAGTACATCACCATTATCATCATTATCATCACCATTATAATCATTATCATCATCATTATTATCATCATCATTACTGTTGTTATTATTTCATTATTTATTTTATAATTCATTATATTTTTAGTGTGACTCCATTCTCAACTGTTGCTAATGGTAAAAGTCATCATTTGGAGTCAAAGTACCCAGAAGCTGTTGATCTAGATTGTTCTACCAACAGTAGTGGTGAGTTTGTATACATCAAAACAGTCACCTCTACCTCCTCTCTCTCTCTCCCCCTCCTTGTCATGTTCCTCTTGTTCATTCCTTATTAGAGTCAGTGACACTATGTGAAGAATGTGATCAGTCCAAGGCGGAGTATTTGTGCCAGAAGTGTGACTGTAAATTGTGTGACAAGTGCTTTGATCAGGTAACAACAACAATAATAATAACAACAACAATAATAATAACAACAACAATAATAATAATAATATTAATAATATCTATTTATTTATTACTACTCTAGCTGTTTACAAATGTACTTAAGTATTGTTACATTTATTTATGTATGTCGTTATTTTCCTCACTATTGCTGACCTTCATTAGCTGTTAAGTTGCTAATCCCCAGCACAATACAATACACTACAGTATATTACAATACACTACTCTACACTACAGTACTTACTACAATACAGTACAATACTGCAGTATACAATACAGTACACTACAGTACATGCTGTGTTGACCCACCACCTTCAGTTCCCATCATACCTCCTTATGTACATATACTAGTGTCTTTACATGGTACATGTACATGTACTTGTAAATGTATCAAAGACTGTCCAATTAGAAGCTAATGGTGTCTATACATGTACTTGTACATCCATCAAGTGAATACGTAAGTCTATATATAAAGCAGGGAGGTCCTTCTAATGGAGGTAGATCTACTGTGGGTAGTGATTAAAGGATAGGAAGTTGGTGTTGATTAGCTGCTGCGGTTTGTGGATGTGAAGAGGGAAGTGTTACTAAACCCACGGACACATCCCAGCCACATCCTAGTCACCACCTGCTGAGAAAGTGTTGTATCCTAAAACCATCCACACACCTGGTATATCCTATATATAATACACTTACATCATTCTGCTAGTCACAGTTGAGGTTAGACTCTCTCTCCCTCTTTAGATCCATTCTGTTTCTAAGGTCCTCAAGACTCACAGTAAGGTGATTATTGAGTCCTCTGTACTGAAAATGGTAAGCTACTCTCTGGCTGTGAGTCTTGTTAGCTTGGCTCTCTCTCCCTCCCTCCCTCCCTCCCCCTCTTCCTCTAGAGTAATGACAGACAGTCGCAGCTCACAGCTGCTATGAGGACAGCACAGAAGCATCAACACTCACTGGCTCTCACTAGAAATGTAACCTGTACATGTACATGAACTACTACACGTACTGTTTGTGTACATGTACAGGTTACAACTATTAATACAGCATCACAATCTTACATGTACTGATATACAAGTAGTGTGTGTGTGTGTGTGTGTACTATTAACAGTGTACTTTATAATGACTTTAACAATCACTGCATATATTAGTATACTTTAGTATACTCTTAGTATATTATGCATCTAGTATGTGCAGTGACTGGTTTTTTATTTAATTGTTTTAGAATTTGTGTGTAGCTCGTCAGAAGTTAAATGATTGTAAGACCAAGGTTTGTCGAGGAGAAGAACTCATTCAGATCTGTCAGGCTAGGTGAGTCATTATCTTCATAAAATTGGGATCTCTCTCTCTTTTAGAATTCAGAAAGTTGCTAGAAGCTTGTATTTGGAGATCAGCAAACAGGAGGAAAAACTTGATGACTTTGTAAGTACAACATCCACACACTCGTACATGTACATACACTTGTAATACTGTGAGCTGTGTATTAAGATAACTAGTGCCTTCATGTAGTTCTTATACTGTATACAATGTACTTATATTTATTCTGTTATTCTTATTGTATTATTAGGACTGTGAGTTGAGGAAGGTTGAAGAAGCCAAAAGGAGGGCGGTGGTCAAGTGTCATGCTGTCCTTCAAACCAACGAAGAGAAGGAAGACCTGGATAATGTGAGTTTTAATCAAGTGTGTGGGTATTAGCTGCATGGGTATTGGTTGTCAAAAATGGCAATGAGAGAATTCTCCATTTTTATTACATTTCCTGATACATATACATGTACTTATGTTGTGTAGAAAGTTTGAGCTGATTTCGATTAAATTTGTATTTTTTACGAATTTTTAAAGTTGCTCCAAAATCGGGCCAAAGTCCCTGTACTAAAGAACATAAAAAATTAAAAAAAACAAG